TAAAAACATCATTGATACGGATATATAGGTATATTCGTTTCGATACGACGTGTTACGCATCGCGTGTCGCGTGTATACGTATCATTTATCTTTTTCGATTTGACGATCGTTTAATGATATCGTTGAAATGATAATTATCAAATTATACGAATTTACGCGTATAATGGAAAATCTCGTGACTTGTGATACGATTGATAAATGAGTAAAGAAACTATTGTTCGTATACAATTGTATATATTGAAAATAAAGAATACAATGTCGTATACCTATATTTAAATCCGAATTTGACTAATTTCCGACGAGATGGATAATGTGGATATAGAGGAATGTGCAAAAATAATAGAGTCAATAATCGTAATACCGATTACGTTTAAAAGATAAAATAACGTTATTATTAATCGGTTGATATCTTGCGTTTGTGCTGTATTATCTCTTCTCTCCTCCTTCCCCTCCTTTCTTTTGACGATTAACAATTATATCGAAATTTAACATTTTAAGAACGCAACATAATCAAATTGTATATTGTATGTTCCGTGTCATTGATATAGAGTTTGCAAGGGTGGCTTTCCTTGTTTCTATCGATCGACGCCTGTGCAGTGAGCGACCTCGACTTGACCGCCGACCATAGCCCGGAAGAAGTAATCATCGTTCGATCCTTTTATATTTCGAATCTGTTTATATAATTATAAATCTTAATCTCGTTTTTCTCGTGTTTACGTTATTCGTTGTGTTTATTCTCGTTTATCAAAGATTGAACAAGAAGTACAAGAAGAAAAGAACGAAAAACACGTCCATAGAAAACGCTGAAAATTATCGGAGCAACATCTAAGAAAGCATATACATATGTATGTTACGAGGTAATTGCAGATCTGTCGTTCTTTTAAAATGAGACGACTCTTCTTCGTTTTAAAGAATAATTATAAATATGATAAATAATATATAAAAATATCGTACAATATGTCCGTATTAAAGAATCGGATCGCTGTTCGAATGCGGTATAGAAAAGAATCTGAAATTAATTTGTTTAATGATTCAAACGTGATATAATATTAATTCTAGTAATGTTGCGAAACGATATAAAAGTGTTTGAAAATCGATAATTGTTTGAAAATTATTTTTCAATGTCAAATATTGAAAGAACGATTTATGACTCCGAAAACGATGGAGATATATGTTATAATGAAATTTTGAAGATTCAAAGTTGATGAAGAATTCGATTTTATTATGATATTAAATTAAATAAAAATTGGAAAGAAAAATCATTAAGAAATTATGAAGAACTGTGACATTGAGTTAAGAATGACGACGAACGATGAACATAATAATATAAAATTTTTCATATTTTACGAAAAAAGTTCCAACAGTTGAAAACATTGAAAGATAGAAAAATGTCCGAAAGTAAAGCAAAACCGGCATCGCCGATACCACCGCCTGCTTCTACGCAATGCTGTAATAGCTTAACGGATACGCAGTGTCCAGCGCTCCAAGTTACACCGCGAATGTTGCGATCTCCCAGTCATGAGAGTGTTACAACTGACCTTTCTCTATTTAGCGTATCTTCGATAGCGAGTGAGTTGCGAGGGGTTAATAGACTGGTTACTTTTAAATCGTATACCGATGTACATCTAACTGGTCGTGGCCCATCGCCGAAACCTGATTCTCGTCAGATCCAAAGTAACAGGTATGTATTATGATAAATAAGTCTTAACCGATGTTTTTATATATCAATTTTTAAACTTGTTTTTGTTGTTGTCTTCTGTGTCTTCTATCGAGAATGCTTTCGAAAAAAGTATTTCGCGAATATATGTATATTAATATCCTGTGTAAGAAAAGCGTTATATTATTTTTTCTATTTTTTTTTTTTTTTTTCTTTTATGTAAAGGATCGACCTAACGTTATACGTATATATAGGAATCGATACGCCTTATTGAAATTCGAATAAAAAAAAAAATGCTGTATTGCGATAAGCATGATAGAAAATTAATTGTTTGTGCGATAAAAATGACAAGATTTTATATATGAAACGTTCGATTAATTTTTTCGGGATTTTAAAAATATAAAAATATTGTTTGAGAGTTTGAGAAAATTATTCTAAAAATTATTGTATTTTGTTTAAATTTCCAATATTTATTCTAACCTTTTTAGGCCAGCCGATATACCAGAAATTCTTTGGTTTGAGGAAGAAAATGAATTAATTCGTAGTTGTGGTGTACTTTCATCGGCGCTTGGTCTTCGTAAAAGTTTTAGCACGAGTGACGTATCTCAACTGCCAAGTCCGGATATATTGGGCCCGAACGGTTTACGATCAGCTGTATCCACATTGGCTCTCAACACTGCCCAAAGAAACACTTTGCTTTTGGAACATGCACGACTTGATCATGCTTCGAGATCGTGTAGTACGTGGGTTGCGGTTGGTGAACCAGTTGCGAATACGTCACAACTTCCTAGTCCTCATGGTGGAGCTATGCAAGAACAGCAGCAACAACAAACTTCCGCCTCTCAATCGGCTCAACAACCTCCTGCTGCATCGCATCCACCGATACCTTTCACAGGAGCTGATTTCGTTAGATCTGTCAATAAAAAGGTTCGCCAAAATTATATACGCCGAAGGTTAGTCCGAATTTATTCGTATATTTTATTAAATTGTTTCGATTAAAGTTTGTTTTCATAAAGCGTAAAAAGTATTGGTAAAAAGATAAAATAAATATTGTTTAATATTGCGTGTCGTATGCGAGCGTTGTCTTAAAGTATGACGTTAAGATCTAGTTTTATTCTAATTTTATATATTTAAAATTAATTTATGATATTTGAACGTCAAATGCAATGTAAATTTTTATTATTTAGATTAATATCCGATTTATTATAATTTTTAGATTATTAACAACATATCGCGCTTTGGAGCGGCTTTCGCAAAGCGAATTTAATTTGGATCAATTGGAGGTTGTGGCAAGTGCAGCGCAAACAACTTCCGGAACTACGTTACTGGTCCCTGGAACAACAGGAACCACTGGATCTTCGTTATTAGGACAAAAGGAACGAAATCATGCTTTAACCATTAAAGATGTTGAAAGAGAACGTGGAAATCAATTATCCAAATACGAAAGAAATATGATGATTTTTAACTGGCTGCATACTCTTGACGATACTGCTATTGTTGACAGTGTAGAATAAATTACGTTAATTTTGCTAGAAGCTGAAAGATCTAGTCGGTAGAAAAATCATTAACGGTTAAAATTCTGAAATACGTTACGGGGAAATGTTTTATTTTATATAAAAGAGACAATTTGAAAAATTTGAAGAAAATGAATAAAAATGAATATAGGCAGAATAATAATATCTAACCGGCTAAATCTTTTGATCTCTGGTATAATAATCTTGGGCAATTATAATTAATATTTCCACTACGCTTAACATTAATTACCGTACATGTTATACGGGAAAAAAAATTTGTATCGAAATATATTAAAACTCAAACTTCTCACAACACAACAAATATAACATTAAAAAATTATTTACTCTTTTACAATTTAAAATATTATTTTTATAATATATGTATAATTATAATTTTATGAACTTTGTTTCAAAATGCACTATTTAAACGTTAAACGATCGAACGCTTGACGTCACTTATACGTATCCTCGGATGTCTCGAGATGATGCCAAATTAATATTGCGTGTTCAAGAGGTCAAATAAATGAGAAAAGTTCCATATCCGAGGATTTTTTATTAAATAGTTACGAGAGATCGATTATATGTTGTCTGTTAAGCAAAGTTATATATGTAATACTATTAATTTTGAGATTTTATAAAATTCCCGCTTGACAAATATACCTAGTATCATTTTTCGTTGTTATTATACATACTAATTTCACAAAACTTGATGTTATAAAAGATTTTGGATTTTTTTTTGTTTGTAATAAAAAAAGTTTAATTTTAATCGAAAATAATGATTAATAAATTTTTTCGACTTATTCTTGATATATTATAGATTTTTATAAAAATGGCACTCTGAATACGCTCTTAATGCTAAACACCATTTCTGTGTACATTAACTATTTTATGTAACTTTATAAATAAAAATTAAGCAGCTAAATATAATGGCAATGTGTAAATATTAGTTTTTCATTCCCATAAAAATTTCAAATATTTTTTTGTAAATTCAAAATTACAGAATTTTGATGTAACGATAGATACGTTAAATTTTAGAAAAATAAAAAAAAACGCAAAAAGATGTGATGAAGTGGTAAGAATTTCCTATTTGAAATAAATTCTTTATATATTAAAAAATCAATGATATAAATCGATGATATAAAAAAATAGAATTATTTAATATACGTAATACATGTATATATATAATAATAATATATATAGTAAAACACTTGTTACATATGTTATATAATATATGTAATAAAATTACGTATATTATATGTACATATACGTGTACACTATACGCAAAGCATTAATTTATTTTATTTCTTTCGTTATATATTTAAATAATCACATTTTTTTTAGATACGGAGTGTTAATGTATATTATTTTACATTAATCTTTAACATCTTTAAACGATTGAAATTATATATCGAGACAAATACAAAAATTGATATGCAAAAATATCGATTGTGATTTATTTATCAAGTTATAAATAATTTTATAACGCCATACGTACTATCGGTATAATATTACAATATTATTTGCCTTTACATTATAGATAAAATATATGTATCTTATTATATATATTTACATTTATATATATATATATATATATGTATAAGTTTTTTTCTATTTTCTATATATTTTTATATATATTTTACATATTAATTTACAGAATTATACAATAATATATATATATATATATTTTAATTATTTATATATAGGCAGTAAGGTATATAAATATATGTACGTATACTTTGATTTTTTATACGTGATCGCTATTTTAGAATATAGGATATAAAGTTTTTTAAATATTAAATTTATCTCACCTCAGAATCGTCTGTGCCTATGTCAGGTTATACTTACAGATTTACAGTAATACAATACAGATATAAGTCATAAATGTATTTAAACAATTTTCATAAAAGAAATACGTATATATATATATATATATATATATATTTATATATATTTATACAAAATTTTT